TTGGAAAAATAAGAAGACTGCAAGCCAAAAATAACAGCAGTGCAAATATGCAAAGACATTCTTGCAATCTGCTCTTGGCTAACAGATATTGCTCCAGACAACATCTGTGAAGAAAGCTAATTATAGATATAAACAAGCTTAAAAAACAGGCTTTGGAGTTTGATACAGAGAGTTAAGGCTTCACAGGTACCTTTCCTGTAACCACCCCACAACTGGCCAAACAGCAAGGAGAGCAAAGTACACAGAGAAAAAGTGCAGGCGACGTCGCAGCTGACAACGCCCGTTTTCGCATAGAGCAGAGTCGAGCTCAGATGAATCAAGCACAAGAAATGTTCCAAAAGAGCTTGGAAAATCTGGACAAATACCACAGCAACCTGACTGAAATCCTAGTCACAATGAGGAGCTGTGAGGTGAAAGAAATCGACTTCAAGACCACTATTAAAATGCTGACAAAGGGACTGGATGCAATGGGAAAAGTAAAGGAACAATGGGAGAAGATGGTGTTCTTTTTCCAGATGCTCTCCAACATAATCAAAACAAACCTAAACAAACATTTAAAGGATGTTGTCCATACTGCAGAAAAAGCAGGTTCTTCCAAGCTTGGCTATTCAGCAAAATCATTCCTTAGAGATCTGCTGTATAACCAAGCTTTCCAAGCATCGAATATTGCCAGTTTGGTGAACATGATCTCTGTGACCTACAGAGAGATCTCCAAAGAGTACCTTATGGATAGAATCAGAAGTTTGGGGAAACTCATGGCCTTAGACCCCACCAAATCGGAGTTTGATACAGAACGGAAAAAATTACAGATTGGCTGTGAAGAAGCAGAAGCAGGAATAAAAGCAATTGTGCTGAAAAATAAAATAGAATTTGAAAGTAATACAAAATCAAGAACAGAGAAGATTGAGAATGCACTCAATGGAGCATTGCCCGCAGCCTCTGAGGAAGAGATAAAAGAAGTTAGACAATGTGTTGAAATGGGAATGAAGATGTCAACTCAAGAAGAAGACGATGAGCAGTATTGTTAGTCTTTCCATTTTTCTGCCAGATGTACACTTATGAGTCCTACAAAATATGCTTCTTTGTCATACAAGCTTATACTATAACATGATAGATGGGATACCGGAAAACATTGCTTTAATTGCTTTATCGAAAATTGCAGTATTTATATACTAAATTAGCGGGCTGGGGGTAGTTAGTTCAGATTCACAAAAACTAAGGCACGATATTGTTTTCTGCAGTAATACAGTATATAAATTCTATAGTAGTATAATTAGTTTGATTGTAATAGTATTAATTAATTGGAGTGGAATATATACTGATGGAAAAACGAAACGCAAGATTTTCTGGAATGAGAATACAATAGTTATAGCTTATTTACTTTCACAAAAAGTTGCCAAACCAGCTCTCAACTGGCTACCCACTGAAGCTAAGCAGGGTTGAGCCTGGTTAGTACCTGTTTGGGAGACCTCCTTGGAAATCTATGGTCGCTGCTGGAAGTGGTGTTAGTGAGATCAGTAGGGGGCACCCACCCTGTGGTCTGTGTGGGTCCTAATGTCCCAGTATAGTGGTGGGGACACTATACTGTAGTGGGCGCCGTCTTTCGGATGAGACGTTAAACCGAGGTCCTGACTCTCAGTGGTCATTAAAGATCCCTGGGCATTTCTCGAGAAGAGTAAGGAGTTATCCCAGTGGCTGGGCCAAATTTCCCTCATCGGCCTTTACTGTGGCCTCCATATTTTTCCCCATGTATGATTATCTTGCATTTGCCCTGTGATTGACCGACGCCCCATCATCCGCCCGTTACTTGCTGGGTAGGCTCAGGCTTTCAGCGACCCCGAATGAGATAATGGATGGATAGATTCCTTAATTCCTTTAACAAACTTAAATTTGTTTTAAGCCCTCTGACCAGTAATATAGTTTGTGCAGTGAGGCATTGCAACTTGGCAATCAGATGAAAGCTCGGTAGGTGCACTTTTCCCAGCAAGGTCCAGGTGGAACAATCCCTGATCAGGTCACCCTTAAAAAGGCCTTAGTTCAAAGCTTAGGTCACTGCAAGAAAAAGGCCACACTTAGTCAGTTTTCTGTGCATCCCATAATGCCTTGAATTTCACCAAAAGCCAGGGAGAGGGCCATTGGCATTCTGCAGGCAGGCATGTCACGTGCCAGCGTTGCCAGACACTATGGGGTAAGCCGCTCCACTTTGTCCTGACTGCAGAGATGGTTTCAGCAGACCGGCAGGACAGATGACTGTCCAAGATCTGGTTGCCTTCAAGTAACCACAGCAGAGCAGGACCGACACACCAGACTGGTCCATCTGAGAGATCGTTTCAGATCTGCCACCCATAGTGCTGCAGAAACTGCTGGCAGACACAATGCCCGCATCAGTGACAGGACAGTGCGGCTCCATGCTTCTGGCCTTAGAACAAGGTGACCTGTCAGAGGCTCTCTGCTAACACCTCCTAGACGTCACACCTGATCGGCTTGGGCCAAACAGAGGCTGCAATGGACTCGTCAGCAGTGGCATCAGGTCCTCTTCACAGATGAGTCACTCTTCAGCCTGTTCCATGCAGATGGGAGGGTCAGAGTGTGGCGGAGGAGGTGTTGCGTTTCTTTTTCCATCAGTATACTGTACTTTTCTATTTTTATTGCTTAGTGCTTTAGGTACATGTGTGTTTTCTGCTGGTAGTGTAATTATATTTTTATAATGGACAGCCTAAGAGTAGATTTGCTTGCTCTTCTATATCTTGTCTGTAACAGAATTAAACAGAATATTATACTGTAAATGTTTTAGGTCAGTCATGAATTTTATCTAACTTTGAAATTTCATTTGCTGCTTCTACACTGTTTGCTTCTTCTATGTCTGAATATATAACCAATTTAAAATTTAAACAGGAATCTAGATCACAGAGATAAAAATAATAAAGAGCAGTGGTACTAGTACAGATCCCTGTGGTACTTGATTAATTACATCACCCCAATCTAACTTTTCATCCTTATCTGTATCCTCTTTTTTCTGTTTAATAGAATACCCTAATTGATACCCTGAATCCCTACCATCTACAATTTGATAATTAACCTGTTGTGAGAAACTAATGTATGTAAAAATTCGTCTGTACACAACATCATATGCCCAATGTATATCCATTACTGTTATTGGTATCAATCACATCAAGTAATCACATATCTAATTAATTCAGTTTAATCAAACTCACTTCATCTATGGCCTT